ATATCTGCCATCTGACAAGAAAACTATGACCACATTACCACTATTTCTTATTTCTCCAAATCCATCCAACAATGGAACAACAACACCTTTCGTAACATTTTAAAAGGAAAAGAATATTACTTTCTCGACTTGCTGGTTTACAATCTTCATGTCATTAACCAATGAGCTCATACCTCCAACAGCTCGAAGAAGAGCTTACAAAAGAGTACAATCACATTCTTATATTAGAAGAAGAATTCTGGGCCTTAAAGTCGTGCATCAATTGTCTAAATGAGGGTGATGCAAACACCAAATACTTCAACTTATCTACCCTCCAACGTCGTAGAAAAATCAAATCGTAGTTTTGTAAGATGCAGCTGATAACAAGTGTTATAATTTGGCCTCAATACAAGTCACTCCGTGGAAACATTTCACGGGATTATTTACTACGGAATCCGTCTCTTTTCACAATACTTTTTCTAAAGTCACCCATTATGTACTACGTTTAGAAGGATACAATTCTCTTAATAAATCACTAGAGCATAGGGAAATTACTACATCACTTCAATCCTTTAAAGCCCTTAAGGGGCCAGGGCTTTGCACCCTTACTTTCACCAGCACTACTAGCATGAAATTAAAGGACCTGTACTAGCTATGTGTCACCAAATTTTTGCTACCCAATCTATCCTTGAGAATATCAATTCAACTTAGCTCTGCCTTATTCCAAAATTTAATAATGCGGCAACAGTTCATCAATTTCGCCCAATTAGTTAACGTTTATGTAACACCATCTATGAAATTATTATTAACTGTATCAAGCTGTTTCTGGATACACTCATACATCCTACTCAAACTAGCTGTCAACAACACAAAAGAGCCTCAGATAATTCTATCATTGTTCAAGAGATTATCAATAAATTTTGCACTATGAGGGGGGCCAATTCTAGCATACTACTTAAACTTGGCCTTGAAAAGGCATTTGACCACATCAAATGGTCTTTCATCAAGTAAACTCTGACCTACTTCAATTTTTTTGATTCCCTAGTATGCTTGATTATTTGTGTGTCTCCACCTCATCAGTCTCCATTTTGATTAACGGCTCACCAACGATTGTCTTCCGACCTTCCTGAGGTATCCGACAAGGCGGCCCTCTATCACCATACTTAATTATCCTATGTATGAAAATGCTATCTAGAAGTATTAATAATGCCCTAGGCTACAACTCCTGGCACCCTATTTCCTTATCTGCAAGGGGCCCTCCAATATCGCATTTATGTTTCGCGGATGACATTATACTAACCTCACGCACTACCAACACTTCCTGTACAACAACCATTAACACTCTTTGCCATTTCTCAGACTGGTCTGTCATGAAAATTAATTTACAAAAATCCAAAAAACAAAATTCTCTAATAACTTCCCCCAACATCTTAGGATTTCAATCCTCCATTCGTTCAACATGTCGGAAGGCAAGTCATTTTGTAAATATCCAGGATTTCCCATTTTTCTATAAACAAAACCCCGCAAAAAGAGACTTCCAATCTACAATGTTATTTGTGGCTTGAATTATTTTCTTGTATTTTTTAGGAAACCCATAGTCCCTATAGGTTTAGGAAAACCCATTGTCCTAATAGATTTGGAAAAGGAAAACCTATAGTCCTTGTCAAATTGGGAAACCTTTCTCATATATGTTTGGGACCTTTTGGGATCTATATATAGGGGTTGTAGTTGAGGATTCTATAGATTGTATTGTGCTTTTCTTCTCATTCATAGTGGAAAACTCTCTCTGCTTTTGCCCCGAATTAGGCTTGGATGAACCTCGTTAAATCCTTGTGTTGATTTTTCTTCTCTATTTGCTTTGTGTGTGATTGTGTGCTAGTTAACCCATGATATTCCACAACAATTGGTATCAGAGCAAGGTTCGAGTTTCTACATATAATTTAGGGTTAAGATGTCTTCATCATCTTCAACAAAGTACGAAGTAAAGAAATTTGATGGAGGTTCTAGTTTAAGTCTATGGAAGATTAGGATGAAATCGTCCTTGGTGTTACAAGGATTATGGAAATGTAATGACCCGATCCATCATTTATTGCATTTCAGTCCCGTTATCCCCGTTGCATGCTTCCCCGTATATTATTTTGCGTGTTTGGTGAGTTTGGAGTGGTTCGGATGGGATTTAGATAGATATGAGACACTTAGTCTCTTATTGAAAGGCTTAAATTGGAAGAGTTGACCCAAAGTTGACTTATGGGTTAGAGAGCTCGGAATGGATTTCCGATGGCTCGACTAGTTCCGGGGGATGATTCGTGATGTGTGGGTGAAAACGGAAGTGAAATCGGAGGTCCGGAGTGGAAATTAGCTAGGTTTGCCGAAGTTGGAATTTCGGAAGAATCCGGTTGATAGGCGAGAATTTGATCCGGGGGTCGGAATGGAATTCCGACAGTTGCATTAGCTCCGTTAGGTGATTTTGGATGTGTCTGCAAATTTTCAGGTCACTCGGAGAGGTCTAAGTCGGGTTTTTGATCAAATGAGCAATTTGAAAGTTTAAGTTCATTTAGAATTGGAATTCGTTGAATTTTGATGGTTTTTGATGTTTACGATGTCGTTTTTATGGCTCGAGCAAGTTTGAATGAAGTATTAGGTTGAGTTTGTGCCTTTGGTTGAGGTCCCGGAGGCCTCGGGGTGATTTCGGGTGTTAATCGGATCAAGTTTGGAAACTTGATAGCTGCTGTTGGTGCATCAGTGGTTGCAGCACTATGCGATCGCATAGCAAGGTTGTGATCGCATAGGAGGTCGGCTGGGGAGTCTTGTGTTATTCTATGCGATCGCAAGATATGTATGCGATCGCATAGAGTAGTCCGGTTGGGCCAGGGTCGCTGAGATGGTATGCTATGCGATCGCATGGTATAGATGCGGTCGCATAGGAGGATCGGAGAGGTTTAGCTGGTAGAGCTATGCGATCGCATAGGAGGTGTGCGATCGCATTGAAGAAATTATAGCCTGGATCAGTTTGCTCTATGCGATCGCATGGTTGTATTGCGATCGCATAGAAGGGAGCGTCAGTGGGTTTTAAAACATAAGGAACAGTTTCATCCGCGAGCCCCATTCATTTTCCTCCATTGTTGAGCGACTTTGGGAGCTAAGTGACGAGTTTTGAAGAGATTTTCACCGGGTAATCATTGGAGGTAAGTCTCGGAACCCTATATCATTATTTTATTAAAGAATTACACCTTAAATCTCTGAAAGTAATGAATTAGAGGAAGGCCTAGGGCTTGATTTTTGAAAACTAAATTGATGATTTGGAGGAGCAATTGGACTCCTATTTCGATAAATTTTATATGTATAGACTCGTGTCGAGACGAGGATCGTTTTGGTATGAAAATTTCTGGAATTCGAGACGTGGGCCCGGAGCTCGGGTTTTGTGATTTTCGCGAATTGTGTTGTTTTTCGAGTTCTATTGATTGGGCTATGTTCCATTAGCATCATGTAATGAATTTGCTATGGTTTTGGGCAGATTCATCGCTCGGAGGTATGGATTTGAAAGGAAAGGGCATTTCGGGCTAGTTTACGGCCGGTTCGAGGTGAGAAATGGGTGTAGATGACTACTTGAGGGTTTGAAACCCCGGTTTATCACTTTGTGCCGCTATTGTGAGGCTAGACACGCACTCCAGGGTAGTGCGGGGTCGGAAGTGATGTGAATTGTGACTCGGACCCAATCCGAGAGATTATATTATGCTGTGAATTGACTGTTTAGCATTATTATACTGTTGTTAGCTGGGCTTGACGCTATGTTTGGGCCTTGTGCCGACTTATATAATCCTTCAGGGATTGATATGGGCTTGATGCCGTGTTTGGGGCCTTGTGCCGACCTGCAGAATCCTTCAGGGATTTCTGGACTGTATTAGCATGACCTGTCCATTGAACGATAGTAGAGCTGAACTCTGACACTGAATTTGACATGATCTAGCATGATTCTAGAATATAAACGAAAGAAAAGGTTTTCTAATTAATAACTGAAATGAGAGATTTCATAAATGAAATAATTGTCTGGCTTGACTGCATATGCATCGGATCGGGCTGCACGTTCCGCAGCAGTATATATATCGGATCGGACTGCACGTTCCGCAGTACTGGATCGGACTGCACGTTCCGCAGTATTGTGCGCTTGGGCTGTAGGAGCCCCTCCAGAGTCTGAACCCCCACAGTGAGCGCGGGTACCCATTGGATCGGGCTGCGCGTACCGCAGCGGGCATGCATTGCATTGCATCATATGCATATTATGTTAATCTACTGTTTCTGTAAGATTCTTGCTGTACATTGTTGTAGAAAGAAATGAAGGGGTTAGCTGTACATAGTGTTATATCTGGATTTCTTTCCTTCAGGTTATTATTTACTGTCATTACTCGCTGAGTTGGTAGACTCACCCCCTACTCCCTGCACCTTGTGTGCAGATTCAGGTACAACTGAGCCCCAGTCGCAGCTGCGTTGATTCCAGAGCTAATCCCAGGGTTCGAGGTAGCTGCTTGCATCCGCAGGACCACCAGACTCTGTTCTCTTTTGTTCATTTCATTTGACCTATCTCATACTGTATTTACATTCCTGTCAGTATACTCGTATTGTGTTAGAGGCTCAAAGCTTGTGACCCCTCGGTTTTGGGGATTGTGGATTATTTCTGAGATATTATCTTCAGTTTGGCTTTTATCCTTGGCAGTATATTGTTCTAAATCTCGGTTTGGTTTATATTGGGCTTTAATGCCAGTGTTTGAATTGGAAATGGTCGGGCTTGCCCAGCCTTGCGGCAGGGCGCCATCACGACCGGGATGTTGGGTCGTGACAAGTTGGTATCAGAGCCTAGGTTGCTAGGCCTCACGAGTATGAGCCGGTTTAGTAGAGTCTTGTAGACGTCCGTATCATATCCACGGGAGGCTACAGAACCTTAGGAAACACTTTGCTTCTTTGAAATTCTTATTGTGCGATGTATTGGATTGAGAACTGAAACTTCTTATCCTATTCTCTCACAGATGGCGAGAACTCGTGCATCAGGACGTGGTGGACGACCCCCAGTACCACCAGCTCGAGGCCGTGGACGTGGCCGCGGTCGTGGTCGTGGACGAACCGGTCCAGCAGAGGCAGCACCTATAGATCCACCGGTTGCTCAGGTTCTGGAGCAGGTTCCAGCAGCACCTCCTCAGGCACCTGCAGTGCCTATTGTGATACCGGGCCTACAGGAGACTTTGGCACAGATTCTATCAGTGTGCACCGTGTTAGCCCAGGTGGTGTCAGCTACAGCAGCTGCTACATCTCAGACAGGGGGTGGTCAGCAGACCCCTGCGGCTCAGACTCCAGAGCAGGTTATTCAGGGCTTGCAGACTCCTGAGGCATCCCCTATTGCTCCAGCTGCCCCAGTGGCACCGGTTATTCCAGTTGCCCCAGTTGCGCCAGCCCCTGGTTATATTGTTCCTGTTATGGCTGACGACGAGCAGCGT